GGGTGTAGGATGTGGGCCCACTTGGCGTGTGGGGAGGGCTGGGAACTTCCAAGGGGACCTGAACATTTCAGTGGTGCTGAGCCACTCGCAGAAGCACCGTTGAGGGAAGGGGATGGGTGTCACTCCCTCTTCCACCTGCCCCTTTCTGCCTGCTGCCCCCTCCCAGCTGGGGGCAGAGGTGCCCAGGTTATCCAGGCTGGGCCCCCCGCCCAGGGTAAAAAGCCTCATGCCACAGCCACAAGACCAGCCATGGGGAAGCTGGATCAGCTGGGCTGGGTGCTGGGCTCTGCCATGAAGAGGTGCTCAGCACAGGACTTTGTCGCACTGGGGGCTTTGCTCTGGGCTTTGCTCTGGGCCAGGGACAGCCCTACTGGAAAAGGGGCAGTGACACTGGCCATGGCACATGTGACCTTGGCCCCTGGCTCTGCTGGCCAGGGCTGTCCTGATTCTCCCTCCTCTCTCCCAGCGTCTCACCTTCCCCCTGCTGTCGGTCACTCTTCTGGTGTCCTTTGGCTCCTCCATGCTCTATGGCTACAACCTTGCCGTGGTGAACTCACCGGCAGTGGTAAGGGATGGGCAGCCTCTCTGGGAGCAGGGTGGAGGGACTGCTGCCCAGCAGCCCCACATCAAAATGCTGGCATTTTCCTTGAGCAGTCCAGGGAGAGGATTGGCATGGGAGGGACATGCGAGCCTGTGTTCATGTACTCCAAACTGGTCCCCTCAGGGAGGCAGGATCTGGGGAAAGCTGGCCACAACCTCCTCGCTCTAGCTTGAGCTCTGTCTATGGCAACTCTAAGTGGTCCTTACGCCTCTCTCGTGCTGAGACTGGCTGAGAAACCTGACCAGCACATTCCAGTCATCCCCAACCACGTCCTGTCCTGCATCTCCTGCAATGCTGTTAAACCCATGGTATTGTCCCTAGAGATCCTGTCTTCCCTTGTCTTCCCCTTTCTCCAATACATTTGGTGCCCATGTTTTTCTCTCTGTTCTGCAGCACATAAAGGCTTTCTACAATGCCACATGGTCCCAGCGGTATGGACATGGGCTGGCCCCTGGCCCCCTGACCCTTCTCTACTCCCTGACTGTCTCCATTTTTGCCCTGGGTGGGCTGGTGGGCTCTTTGCTGGTTGGGGTGCTGGTGGAGCGGTACGGCAGGTAAGGGTGTCATACCACAGACCAGGGTGGTTGAGGGGTGGGATGGGACAGGAGGATCTGCCCTGCTGCTTATGCCTGCTAGGAATGGTGCTCTGAGCCGCAGTGCTCTCCTCGTCCTCTTGGCTGGTGGCTTCATGGGCTTCAGCCGGGAGCTGAGGTCCCCCGAGATGGTGATCATCGGTCGCTCCATCACAGGACTCCACTCAGGTAGGTGCTGCCTGGGCTGCAGGGCTGTGCACAGCCCCTGCCTCATGGCTCAGCCCCCTACAGTCCATTTCCAGGAGACTGGAGAAGACTTTGTTTTCCCTGCAGGCTCTGTGGAGGGGGTCTCTGGTACAGACAGGGACACCTCCCTGACCACGGGGTCCCCGCTGTGTCTGATTCTGGGCCTGGGAGGAGATGCATTGAGTGTCTGGTTGGGCACCCTTCTCCCCACTGCCTCTCCCATCCCAGTCCCTCCTGTCCTCACCCAGGTATCTGTCTCAGCGTGGTGCCCCTCTACCTGGGAGAAATTGCCCCCAAGAACCTGCGGGGTTTCCTGGGCCTTGTGCCCAGCATCTTCATCTGCCTGGGGGTTTTCTCTGCGCAGGTCCTGGGCCTCCCAGAGCTGCTGGGTGAGGTAAGCACAACACCCCAGCCCATGCATGCAGGATCCTGCTCTGTCCTCCCTGTGACACTTCCCGTTTCAACTTGTCTCAGGACAGGTTCTGGCCCCTTTTCCTGTCAGTGGTGGTTGTTCCTGCCTCCCTCCAGCTCCTGCTGCTCCACTGTTTCCCCGAGAGCCCACGGTACCTGCTGATAGAGAGAAATGACATCTGCAGGGCCACCAAGGGTGAGGAGATGTCCTGGGGGAGACTGACTCAGGGAGGTGCTGGGTGATTCTCCAAGGTCTCCCAAGACCAAAGTGCGTCCTCATGACATCCTTTCATATGCAGACCTGACAGCCTACCATAGTCCCTACGGTTCAGCTCTTCTGTCCCACCCAGTTGTGCCACAGCATTTGCATGGTGCCCATCACTGTGGTATGAGGCTTCTCCCCAGTTCCTATGGATGCTCAGCCCCATGTGTCAGGGAGGTGTCCTAGGAAGGCTGAGCCAGGGCAGAGCCAAGCCCTGCCCTGTGCCATTACCTATGAGCATCCACTCTGTGATGGGGAGATGTGTGTCCATGACCCCTGCTCTCCCCACAGCACTGCACCGGTTCCTGGGGACCCCTGATGTGCAGGATGTGATCAAGGAGATGAAGGAGGAGCAGCAGTCGCTCTCCTCCATGGAGATGGTCTCTGTGTGGCAGCTGCTGCGGGACCGCTCCGTCCGCTGGCAAACCCTCTCGGTGGTGGTGGTGAATGCTGGCATGCAGCTCTCGGGGATTGATGCCGTAAGCCCTGTGGGGTCCTTGCCCCACGACCTGTTTCTGCAGAGGTTGAGCTGAGACCTGGCAGTTCATTTCATCAAGTGCCCTATGGCTCCATCCCCCAGCTCACCCTATGTTCCCTCCTTGGCAGATCTGGTTTTACACTAACATCATCTTCGAGAACGCTGGGATCCCTGTGTCCCAGATCCCCTACACTACCGTGGGCACTGGTGCAATTGAAGTTGTTGCTGGGCTGATTGGGGTGAGTGATGGACACAGCCCCTCCATGCCAGAGCCTTGTCACAGCTCCCAGCATCATAAAATGGGGGGGACTGGAAGGACTCCCAAATACCATCTGTGCCACAGCACAGCCCTTTTCTGGGGGCAGGATGGTTAACAGGGAAATGGGGGTTGGTCATGAGACAGGCTCAGTTTGGGGGTCACATCTAGGATAGTTGGGATAATTTTGGGGTAAGTGGGTAGCAGGGAGGTTGGGGGGAGTTGCCAGGCAAGGAGCAAGTTGGAGATGATGGAGGGGGGCTAAGCAGTTCCTTCTGATTCCCACTTCCATTGTCACTGTTAACAGAGCCTCATGTCCCCATCTG